TAAGCAGTAGGCTGCGGTGCGCGCGGCGGCCCCCTGGGACCTCCCGTCCGCCCCGGGCGGTGACCCAGGTGTGGGCAGAGGCGCAGAGGCGTCTGCGGCCGGGCCCTCGGGCCCTCCAGCCAGGCTGTCAGGCGCCTGGAGGTGGAAAGGTGCCCAGGGTCAGGAGCACCCCGGAACTTCGGGAAGAAGAGACCCCATGGCCCTCCAACTCTTCCTTCAGACCTCAGAGGAGGAAGAGAAGAGTCTTAGAGGCACAGGCATTTCCGGGCGCGGCCAGGAGCAGAACGTGAAGACCGATCCCGGTGCCAGCGATCTCTTTTACCGGCCACGGAGAACCGGGAAACTCCAGGGTTCACACCACAAGCTCCTACCCAAGACGGTCAGTGGGTTGTCGGGACACGCAGGGCGGACAGTTGCACCCCCTGGCAGAGCGCTGGCCCAGAATGGGTCCTGGGGTGACGAGGTGCACGAGCGCGGGGGTTCCCGCCGGGGAAACAGCACGAACCGGCGCGTGAGACTGAAGAACCCCTTCTACCCGCTGACCCAGGAGTCCTATGGAGCCTACGCGGTCATGTGCTTGTCGGTGGTGATCTTCGGGACCGGCATCATCGGTAATCTGGCTGTGATGTGCATCGTGTGTCACAACTACTACATGCGGAGCATCTCCAACTCCCTCTTGGCCAACCTGGCCTTCTGGGACTTTCTCATCATCTTTTTCTGTCTTCCGCTCGTCATCTTCCACGAACTGACCAAGAAGTGGCTGCTGGAAGATTTCTCCTGCAAGATCGTGCCCTATATCGAGGTAATGCCTTCCAGGGGGTCTTAAGCTACTGGTTTTACCCATTTGCAGGATTATAGCATCAAAGAACTGCTGGACACAGCTGCGTGGCAGAAGCCCTTTGCACTTCCTTTGGGTCTTTCCTCCGTGTCTCTTTGGAGTCATCTAAGTGCGTATATATAGGTATATAAAAAGAGGCAGCTTTGCTAAATTGCCTTTAAATTTTGTCTACTTAATGTATAGAATGATATGGACTATCAACCTCTCTCTCTCTCTGAATACGGGGATATGTGTATGTCTGATCTGGCACCTCTCAGAGACTTTAAGTTGAAATAAACGGCCAGCACACAGCAAGAAAAAAATAGGTATGTTAGCATTTATCTACTAGAGAGCTACTACTTCAAAGTGACCACCCCCCAACGAATTATTGCATTTTCTTAAATACCAACGTTGGAGTAATATCTTAAGTTTTTTTAAAAAAGGAAAATCTTTCTGTGTCATTTGGCTTCATGAGGTATTAATAACCTCTCAAATTAATTTAAGTATCTGGCTGACTTCCATGTGATTCCATTTAAATTCCTATGTCATTTTTTTTTCCTTTGCCATAGGGGCATGGGTTTGCCAGACAGAGAGAGAAAGAAAGAGATAGAGAGAGAGAGAGAGAGAGAAATCATGCCCATCCCAGGGAGAATGGCTACGCCACAATCTCTTCTTCTACATTTTTTTTGTGGGATTCTGGGCATGCTCACGCATGTGCCCTGTGTGATTTTCAAGGTCTGGGATTTGAACTAGTCTGGGGCTTGAACCATGAGTTGGCCATGCGGCATTGGTATCCAACACCTTATCCTCTATACCATTTGCTGTCCCTTATGCCATTTTGTGTGTTTCTCTTTTCTCCTTCTTGATTTCTTAACAATTTTTATTTATTTTTGAAGAATTTAAGTGAAAGTAATATTTTTGGCTACCATGGCATAGACTTTTTAACATTCTCAGGTATGTGGTACATATTTGTCATTCGTTGTAAGTAGAAAGGATTTGTTATTTTAAGAGACTGACTCTAAGACCAAAAACTTTCTTAAGAGGAAGGAGGCATATAATGGGTTCCAAACTTGAGAAACAAAAAATCATTTTGAGTAAAATTTTACTGCTTCAACTTAGAGCTTGTGTCCTGAACGATTATTGTGGTAGCTGGAATTTGCTCTTTAAATGGTCTCTCTTTAAACACCAGCTCTTGGAAGGGGCCCAAGTGTTTGGCTGCCAGTTGTGTTTTTAGCCAGCTGGCCCTTAATTTTCCCCATTCAGACTGTCCATTTCATTTATGGAAGCAGACGAAAGGAAACTGTAAATATTCCAGAGCCCCTGATCCTGTCTGGCACCAGGGCCAATGACGCTATGTTCAAACATTGCTCCAAGGCCTAAAGCTAGAGGATAAGTAAACAAAAAACAGTACCTACTTAGAGCAAGGCAAGAGACAGTAAATAAGGCCCTCTGTCATACTGACAGGGATCAGATGCAGAATCATTCCATGCCTGCTGAATCAGCTGTTGCTGCTTTACCAGGATCCAGGATTTCTCATGTTGCCCAGCTCCAAGTATTTCTGAATCACTGAACTTATTTGGTGGACAGTTCATTTTTGAATTGTGCGGGTGACAGTTATGTCAGAAAATGCATCTATCAATTGCCTTTTCAAGGTCAATTTCAATGTAAGATTTCTGTTCATTTGAATAATGCAGAAGAAATCGACTTATGCAAGAAAGAGCCAAAAAAGTAAACCATAAAATGAACAGAAGTATTCCACAGCAGAGAACTAGATTGGTTTGTCTCGCTGGAAGTGTACTGGACATGCAGAAACTTACATATTAGAGGGAAACACTAGCAAGAACACAAAAAGAAAAATAATGACCAAAGTTCTTGAAAGGAAACTTTAAAAGATAAAAAACATTGTTGGATTCACGAAAGAATTTGAAAACTTTGGTTAGCTTGATGAGATCTAAAAGTTTTGAACAATGATGTCTATTATGTATATGTTTTAATATTCTTTCTAGTTCTGAGAATTTTTCAAATACATATAATACTCCAAAGTGAATAGTACGTATTTCACTCCTCAGTTTAATTTTCTCCTCTTTAAGAATAGTTTGTTTTAACCTTTTTTTTTAATGTTGTCTGGAATCTCTCTGTCTCTCTTTTTAATTACTGGAAGGTGCCTGCACTCACCAGGGAGATTGGAAGAGTAGTCATGCCACAATCCGTTGTCCTCCAGGTCTCCCTCCTCTCAGGAGTCTGAGCAGGGAGGCGCATGTGCCCAGCATGTTTTTCAAACTGCTGGGGGTAGATTTGATGCCTGGTCAGCTGTGGGGCATTCAGCTGTCCTAACCGCTATGAACTGACTGGCCCACCATTTCTTCAGTTATTGGTACCATGCTTTATTTTTCCTAAAGAAGCAAAGGCTACACAAAAAAGTTCACTCATATTTTCCTTGAAAAATTAGGTTGTAGTTTGTACATACTTTCAAAAACTGTATCGTCTACTGTAGAGGTGTACAATTGAATATAAATAACAAATCATAACATATAATACTGGTTTTTACCATTAAAGTAGTGAACATCATTTTTCTTTTTCTTTGTTTTTGGAGAGGTTTTTGCTATAAGGCATGTATGCTTGCCAGAAAGACAGAGAGACAGAAAGTGAGAAATCACCCCCCAGGGAGGTTGGCCACACCACAATCCCTTCTCCTCCATTCTCCTCTCAAGATCTTGGGCATGCAAGCACATGCGCCTGGTGTGAGTTTAAGCCACTGGTTCCGGGACTTGAACCGCGGTCAACTACATGGGAGTCCAGTGACATAGCCATTACACCAACTGCTGGTCCCCCAAAATTTTAATATGTAGTGTTTCTATTTTTCTACCTAATCCTTATTTCTCTGAAATGATTTTATAATGTTTTAGCAAGCTTTGTAAAAATAATCATTGAACAGGACCAGCAGTTGGCATAACAGTTATATCTCTGGACTCCCATGTAGTTGACCGTGGCTTGAGTCCTGGAAGCTTAAAAGTCATGCTGGGCACGTGTGTGTGCATTTCCCAAATCCTAAGAGGAGAATGGAGGAGAAGGGATTGCTGCATGGCCAACCCCGCTGAGAAGAAGTTTCTCACTTTCTCTCTGTCTCTCTCTGATTTTCCAACAAGTGCACCTACGTGCCCTATAGCAAAAATCACTCTAAATTTTTTTTCAAAAACAAAATTATGGAACTATAGTATTAGCTTCATAATTCTTGATTATTGAAAATAACCAAAATCCAAATGTTTAAGCAAAACATTTCTGCCTCCAGGGGGCACTGGTATTTTTACAGAAGTAAGAGATTTAGTGCCTGCCCCACATTGGGTTCTTACAAACACAGATCCCAAGAAGGAGATTTAATGAGGCACGGTGTTTACTATGGGATGCTCTCAAGTTCAGCACCTATTAGGGAGTGAAGGATAGAGAACTAGGCCAAAGGAGAGGTTGAGCTGTGATGCAATTGCTACTAAGTCTCAGCGGACACCCCGGGGAGCTCTAGGCTATGACAGTCATGCAAAGATGTCCTGGGCAAGAAGCCCTGGCCCTTTGTACCTTTCAATGGACTAGTCATTGGATGCAGGCTGCTCCCAGCAATGGGACTCCCAGCCTTGAGTTGGGTGGATCTCTTTGGTCTGGAATAATTCCTAGAGAGAGATGTAGTTAAGAGTTGTGAATCGCCAATGATCCCAACAGGTGGATAAATCAATGCTTCATTCTTAAAGAATTTTGGGAGGGAGCAGATTGGACAGAGACGACAGTATCCACTACAGTAGCTTTTGAATAGTATTGTTAAATTAGATATAGATAACATTCTAATTCCATTTAACCAACTCATTTAAAAGATGAGGGACCAGCAGATGTCATAATGGTCATGTCACTGGACTCTCAAAGGCTGACCACAGTTTGAATCCTGGACCTGGTGTCTTGAGTCTCATGCCAGCTGCATGTGCCTACATGCCCAAGATTCTGAGAGGAGACTGGAGGAGAAGAAATTATGGAGTGGTCATCCCCCCAAGAGGTGATTTCTTGCTTTCTGTCTCTCTGTCTTTGTAGTGAGCGCACATAGTCTACAGCAAAGATCTCTAACAAGACAAAACAAAACAGAACACAAAACTCACGTTGGCTGTGTGTTGCCTGTGTGCTCAAAATCCCAAGAGGAGAGTGGAGAAGAAGGGACTGTGGTGTGGCCATCTCCCCCGGGGAGGTGATTTCTTGCTTTCTTTCTCTCTGGCAAGCACATACACCCTATAGCAAAAATGTCTCACAAAACAAAACAAAACACAAAACTCGCATTGGATGTGTGTTGTGTGTGTGCCCCAAATCCCAAGAAGAGAGTGGAGGAGAAGGTATGATGGTGTGGCCACCACCCCAGGGAGGTGATTTCTCATTTTTTGTCTCTCTGTCTCTCTTTGTCTCTGCAGTGAGCATACTCGCCCTATAGTAAAAATCTCTTTAAATAAAATAAAATATATTAAAAAATAAAATAAGAAACATGAGTGCAGAGGAGGAAACTGAGTAGCCTAAGCATACAATATTCCCCCTTATATGCAGTTCAGTTTGCTTTCCAAGGTTTCAGTTACTCCTGGTCAACCATGCTCTGAAAATATTAAATAGAAAATTCAAGAAACACACAATTCGTAAGTTTTAAATTGCATACCATTCTGGGTGGTGAGATGAAAACTTATGCTATGCCACATGGTCACACTTCGAACATGAAATTTGTCCTGTGTATCCATGCTGTATATACTACCAACCCATTAGTCACGTGGTAGCTCTCTCAGTTACCAGATCAATTGGTATGGCAGTGCTTCCATTTAAGTAACTCTTGTTTATAAATTAGGTTAATTAATACCTTAAATTTTAACATAAGTATGTGTATAAGAAAAAGCATAGTACAATGTATTGGGTTGTCTGGAAAATCATGACACATTTTTGCATAGTAAAATAGAAAAATAGGGACCAGCAGT